TATATGTTCGGAGACAGGGTCTCTCTGTAGCCCCAGCTGGCCTGGAACTCTCTAAGTAGATCAGGCTGGCCTTGCTCTCATAGAGATCTGCCTGTCTCTGCCTCTTGAGTGCTAGGATTAAAGGTGTGTGCTACCATGCCTGGCCCATTAGTATTTTTTAAAGTATCCTATATGACTTTAATAGGTTGAAAGTCATTAGAAAAAACATGATGTCTTATTAGAAATGCTTGATGCCTCTCAAATCTAAGCTGTGCAGAAGGAATCAGGGATAGAAGATCAAATTCAGGACTTGGGTCCAAACCCTAGTTCTACCTGCAATTTAACCTTGAACAGGCTACTTAACTTCTCTGGGCTTCTATCTCCAGTGGCTTAGGTAGAAAGGGGTCATTTGCAACCAGGGAGAGACTTGGTTCTTCTTGGTTCTCTGTCTGAACCAGGCCACGGAGAGTAGTTGCCCCATTCACAGTTGTTTCCTTTGCCTTAGAGAGACTCTCTGGAGAACACGCTGGGGGAGACTGAGGCCCGCTACAGCTCCCAGCTGGGCCAGATGCAGTGCATGATCACCAACGTGGAGTCCCAGCTGGCTGACATCCGCTGTGACCTGGAGCGACAGAACCAAGAGTACAAGGTGTTGCTGGACGTCAAGGCCCGGTTGGAGTGTGAGATCAACACGTACCGGGGCCTGCTGGAGAGTGAAGACAGCAAGTATGTGGACCTGGGGAGAGGTTCTGCAGAATGTGTACCAGAGTTGTGGGGTTATAGGAAGCCATGGGATCTACCCGCACTTCAGGGACATTAGCTCAGACCCTGTCATGAATAAGAAGCCATCAGAAAGTTGGCATGCTCTAATGAAGGCCAGGGGATGATGTATAGGCCACTATCTCAAACCTGGCCAAGAGGAGGCCATCCTGTGTCACTCCAAGTTGACAAATTCCTTTGAAGTACCCACCATGTGCCAGGTGCCATGGGGTTGGGGACACCAAGTTAGATGGTGACATAGCATTTGCTTTCAGATTGTTTGTGTCTGTTGGAGCACAGGCAGACAGACCACCAGAGGTCATACTGGGGGGAGAGGTTTTTGGGGTGTTGGGAGGACAGGAGGTAGTTTCATTTGATTGCACTCTGGTAGGCAGCAGGACAGGAACTGTCAGCTAGGGGCAACTAAAAAGGAGCCCTCTGTTTTTGTGAGGAAATTAATTAATTAATTTAAGGATATGTTTCCTGGAGGTATAGTTTCTTTAAAAATTTTTTGATTTATTTATTTTTATTTTTATGTGTATGAGTATTTTTTTCTGCATGTATGTAAGTGTACCTGTGTATACAATGCCTGCAGAGGCTAGAAGAGGGTGTCAGATCCCCTGGAACTGGAGTTACAGACAGTTGTTAGCTACCATGTGGGTGCTGGGAACCAAACCCAGGTCCTCTGCAAGAGCAGCCAGTGCTCTTTAACCACTGAGCCATCGCTCCAGCCCTTTGTGGGGGAATTTAGAATCTGATGAACTGCTCATCTTCTCCTGACTGTTAGGCATCTAGAATGCAGAGACAGTAGGATGCACTTGACTCCCTGTGCCTGGTACATAGTAGATGCTCAGTAAACGTTTCTTGACTTGAGTCAAAGAAAACCAAAAACTACTCTTGGGAAGATCATCCTGAGGGCTGTAAGGAGGACTGAGTGGGAGGGGACGCAGGCAGGGACACTGTTCAGGAGCGAAGGGTGGGGAAGGCATGATCAGGTAGCCAGAGGTATCTGCCCCTAGTCCTGGGCAAGCAGAATCAGCAGGACCTAGTGGCTGCCTGGATGCAGAATGTGGATACTGGGTGGACAGTGTTGTAGCAATTTCTTTCTTTCTTAAAAAACAATCTGTGAATCTGTGTATATATACATGGTGTGTGTGTGTGTGTGTAAGAACATTAGGATTATAGATGTGTGCTGCTGTGTCTGATTTTACATGGGTTCTGGGGGTGTGAGCTCAGGTCCTCACACTTGGATGGAAGCCTTTTACTCACTGAGCCACCTCTCTAGCCCCTGTGTGGCAGTTCTTTGTTTTACATTTAGCCTTGCTTCTCTGTTATTCAGAATCTAGTCCCCCAGGGCAGATGTGTGAATCCATAATGGCAAGGACAAGGCTGTTAATATACATACATTATGAGACTGTGGAAGTCAGGGGGGCTTGTACTGCATCCAAGGAGGAAGTGCTGTCTCCTTAGGGCCACTTCCACCATGTGAGATGCAGGCCAAGTACTGCTGGCCTTCCAACTGTTCAAGGGAAGTTGGAGTCTGTATTGTTTCAAGATTTCTCAGCCTTAAAATATATTCAACATATTAAAAAATAAGGTGCCAGCCAAGTGAAAAACATTTCACACTGAATGTGGCCTTCAGGCTACCTGCTGGGTCTCTGTACTATTTGGTCTCCATCCAACGTCCAGTGTTTCTGGTTCTGTGCCCCAGCCTGCCACTCTGAGATCATCCTGTTTCTCTGTGCCATGCATTCATTCCACATCCATTTATTATTTATTCTTATTCAACACATTCTTATGATGTGCCTGCTTTATGCCAGGTATATGGGGGGGGCACACATGCATAACTGTGGACCTCACTGTCTAGCTGGGAGATGGACCATAACAGAGCAATTACTCATTATGATGGGAGAAGGAACACCGGGGGAATTTAGCAGTGGGATGGGGGGATTCAGAGATGTGACAGTTAAGTTGAGCTTTTAAAGAAGAGGAGGAATTGATTCAATGAGTGGTTAGGAAGGAGAGTTCTAGAAAGAGGAGGCATGTGCCCCATGACCTGAACAGGATGGCTCACAGAAGAACTGGCAGAAGGCTGGAACTCAAATGATAGTAGACTTTGAGGAGGAATGGGAGTGGGAAGTGTTTGGGTTCCTGCCTTCTGTTGGCCCAAGTGGGAGCCACTGAAGGTTTAGGGAGGGGAAGGACATGATTAGACTGGTGTCTATAGGAGATCATTTTGGCCATTAATATGCCAAGGGTTAGAAGGAGAGACCAGAGTAGAATTGGGGGGTAGGAATCAGCCAGGAGCCCATTGAGGTAGCACAGGCAGAGATGAGGGTGATTGGGACAAGCTGGGTGAAGGGGGTGAACAGTAGAGCGCTCAGACAGGTATCTGATAGAGTTGGGCCCCTTCACTAATGCTGCCCTATTGTGACTTTCTTTCCCAGGTTGCCCTGTAACCCCTGCTCCACTCCCTCCTGCCAGCCTGGTGCCCCCTCCCCTGGAGGGTCCCGCTCCATCTGTGTGCCCCGCACTCTCTGTGTGCCTTGTTCACCTCGTCTCCAGAGCCGCTACTGAAGTCCCTTCTTATCCCTAAGTTTGTGGATCCTGGCGGGACCGAGCTACATGGCCTGGTGCCTCCTCAGGCCAAGACTGACCAGTTCTGTGATCATCAAAAGAGCAGGGCAAACTAGACCAGCTTAGATGACCCTGAGCAGAACCAGGAAGTGGACCACTCGCAACATGTTCTGACACTATGGGGGCGGCGGCGTGCCCTTGCCCTCGTTGCTTTGAAGCTGCCGCCTCTATTTCCATGGGCAGAAGGTTGTCTTTGGTGATGTTTCCGGTTGTCTGTGCTATGCATGTGTTCTCAGTGAACCTTCAAATAAAGCTTCATACAATGGCCCTGCACATGTCTGTGTCTTTGCTGTTCACACTAGCGTATCCATGAGTCAATTCTACTCATTTGGGCTCAAGAAGTAAGTGACCAAATTTTATATTTATTTTTACGCCTCTCCTATTTCCACATAGACTCAAGAGGTGTTCACTAAAAAGGCCTGCATGCCATAAACCAGTTTAAATCAGGCAATTGCTCCAGAGCCAAGTAATAAAAGAATAAAGAGAAGAGAGAGGGCCATGCCAGAAACTTTGACCGAAGTACTGTAATTGAGAATAATACTCTAATAAAGTTACCCCCCAAGTCTCATCCAGCTGGCACAAAGTGGTCATTCATCCAAGAAGTCTTTACCACATGATCCTAGGTGCAGGGTTGGCATTAAAGCCTGGCTAAGTCAGGAGATGGTCCCCAGACACTGTTAACTGTGCCTCATATAAACCTGCCAAAACCTTATGAACAAGGTATCATTTTTTTCCCCTTCAGTTTGTAAATGAGGAAACCGAGGTCAAGAAAGGTTAACAGACTGGCCCAAGGTCACACAGTTGGTAAGTGGTGGACAAAGAGCTAAGTTGAAAGCTTCAGGCCCCATAGACGCTTGACTTGATAACATTCAGGGTTTTCACTGTTTGGAAACTACAGCTGGGTGTGGGGATACCAAAAAACCCCACGAGTGATCCCCATCATCCAGACACTTATACTTAGAGGGGAGCTAAGATCAGAGCTGGCAAAGCCCCACTCCTTCCTCATCAATCATTGTAGTCACTGACCATTACCTCCCTTCTTTTTCCTTTTTGGATACACTGGTGATTGAATTTAGGTAGAGCCTCGTGCTTGCCAGGTAAGGGCTTCACCGCTGAGCTATAGCCATCGCCAGTCCTCTTTTTTTTTAAACGCTTTATTTTGAGACAGGGTCTAACTAAATTATTATTGAACTCATTCTATAGCCCAACATGGCCTTGAACTTGCCATCCTCCTGCTTTGGCTTCCTGACTAGCTGGGATTATAGGCCTGTACCAGCATCACCAGGCCTGGTGCTACCTCTTAGCAAGCACTTACTATGTACTTCTATCCATTCTGTCTTGTTGAGCATCTTATAGAGATGAACACATGCAGCTCTCATGGCCTCCTTGTCTCGTTGCTATTGTGTTCTTTTTAGACACGGGAAGCTGGGACATAGATGCACAGATTCATTGTCCAAGATTACATGCAAGGACAAAGATTCAAACCCAAATCTATTTGCATGTCAGGATTGTTTTTAACCACCATGCCTCACTGCCAAATTCCTATGCAGAAGGAATAAAGACTAGCACATTTTGGTAGGAAGCAGATATTCAAAGGCTTCTAATAGCTGGTGGCATTTGTGATTAGCAGTGGAGGTTGAACGGGATTCACAGAGCATTGGATATGAGTGTGGGGTCTGCAGGGAGGCAGTGGTTATGATTGGGAGGCCTCAAGTGGCACTCTTGGCTGGAGCCCCAAGTTCCTGGGTGAATAGTTGATGAAATAAAACTCAAAGGGAAAAGGGCACTGGGCTGTGGGGGGCCTCAGGTACCCCACAAAGAGCCTGGCCTCTTTCCCAAAGGATGTGGGCCCAAGGATGACATGAACAGAGTGGAATTTTAGAACATTTCACCAAACAGTGTAGACAGGATAGCAGAAAGGCAGGACGATAGACAATAGTCTATGGAGAAATCTACTTACAGGGTCCCAACCAAGGCACTCAAGGCAACGCTGGAAAAATGAAGGGCTCAGTGTGAGAGACCCAGTGAGGGGCTGGCATTAGCAGTGGGCTGGCTACGGCAGGTGAAAAGCAAAGAGCCAGAGATCTTAGCTTCGGAACATACAGCTCTTCCTTAATGAGTCGAGTAATATTCCTATTAAGTATCTGCCCACTGGCCTTGCCAAGAAATCATGAAATGTGGACTGGCTCCCATCACTGCCTGGGGGCTCTCAAGACATGATCCTGCGTGCCTGCCTGGCAGACCAGAGCTTGACAGTGGAGGCACAAATATGCTGCTTGGCAAGCTGTGGGTCCTGGTTGGTAAGTAGGTAAAGTTTCAAGGTGCTGGGATGCTGAGGGACAGGGGCTTCTGGCAATACAGAGTTCTTCATAACTGCATTCAAACTAATAATCCCTTCTCTGCAAATCTTTTTTACAATGTGCTTAGATATATTCAGAACAATATGTACAGAAAGGACCAAATCTGTGTTTCTAGAATCCTGACCTACTCTGTCCCATTCAGTAGCCACTAATTAGCCACACATAGCTATTTAAGTTTTAATTAAATAAAATTAAATAAATAGGAAAGAAATCAGTTCTGTTGTACTAGCCCCACATGGCTACGGGTGCATTGTTCTGAGCGGTGCTGATTGAACAGTGCACACGGAGGAGGCTCCCACAATCACAGAGAGTGCTTTTGGTTTAAGTTGGTCTCGACTGCCAGACCAAAAGGAGCCTTGCGGAAGATCTGGTCCAGCCTCTCCCATTTTACAGACAAGCAGTCTAAGACCCAGAGGGAAGGAAAGATGTACTCACAGACATGCAACCCACAGGAGTGAGTGAAAGCCAACTGTTTATACGCCAATCCCAGCAGGTCTCTCTAAGCTCTTTATGCTTTCTCCAAGCACCCGGGCTTACTGTTATTTCAGGATAATAAACAGTTTCCCTTCCTCGTTCTTTGGTCCCTAAGAGTGGAGATATTTTCTCGCAGATGCTGACATTTTCCTGGAGTATACTTCCTTTAAAAAAATAACTAGCAGCCACCCAACTCGGCTCTCTGCACCCTTTGTGTGGTTCAAGGCCAGCCCAGCCCTTAGGTTGTGGCTGATAGCCGAGCAGGAGCAATCACACGGGAGTCCTGGGTAGGGTAGGAGTCCCAGGCTCCTGGGCCCTTTGGCAGACTCCTGCAGGCTCCTTTCCCCCAGCCCATATTGTCTAATCCAACCAAGTCTTCGTTTCCACCCCTGTGTCATTGCAACTCGCCAAGACCTGTCTGACCACACAAATACCTAGTAAAGATTTTGTATGAAACTAAACCTCACAGACCAGAGCCTGTATGTCCTGATGGAAACTGGTGGCCAGTGCCTTCCATGTCTGGGGTGTACCTCCAGGATGGCTATAATCCTGCCCCTCCTGTTTTTCTGACAGGTAAAGAAGCTATGGGCATGGACATGGAAAATATTTATGCCTCACTAGTACCAGGATCTCCTGGTGTGTTTCATACATGGGTTTCTCAGAGGAACTCTGTCCCCGTATCAAAAGCTTTGAGCTTAATTAACCCTGATTTATAAGAAACATAGGTAGGGACATGATGAAGTAATAAAAACTGGGGCATATATGATGTTTGGGAGAAACTCCCACGGGTGTTAGGGATCCCCCTGAAGTGTGGTTGAAGGAAGAAAGGGCATATTTTTCAAAGACACAATATTCTCTAAGGTTATTACTCTGGGTCTGGCTCTGGCACTCGGTGTCGTAAAGTTCCTTCTTCTGGGGCTGAAGGCTTGTTGATAGCACTGCCCTTTTGGCCAGAGGGTGGCGTTTCCTGGGAGAAAGATCAGGAGTTGGACACAATGTCTGGGAGAAAGTTTGTGGGGCCTGAATTGTACTGAGTGAATTTATTCTTCTCCTTTGTAGTAGCAAAACTTTCTATAAGGCAAAAATATACATCTTCCAGGCTGTAATTGTGAAAATCATTAATAATAAAACAATTCTCTTGCTGGACATGGTGTCACAGACACATAATCTCAAGATTTGGGAGGCTGAGGGAGGAAGACTGTGAGTTCAAGGCTAGTCTGTCTCTAAACAACATCAAAATAACCCCCCCGCCAATCAACCAATTTTCCTTGGAGGTTTTTAACCCTTGAATGCAAAGACTTAAATTTTGCTAAACAGACAGCTCTTGAGATCATTTATGTCTATTTAAAAAAAAATGGTCAAGATAACTTTACTTCTCTATAACAAGGACACACACACACACACACACACACACACACACACACACACACGGCATCTTGGCCCAATGTTCAAGATCAGTAGCTTTGGCTTTAGGAACCCTGGAGGGTCTAGGACCCAATCCCACTACTCACATGCTGTGTGATTTTTGGCAGATCTCTTAGTGTCTTTGCATCTTAGCCTCTCCCTTTCAGAAACGGGGCTATGATAACTGCTTTGCATGGTCATAAGGATGGAAAGCCCATGACAATGCCTATGTAGTGGAACTGTTCAACGAGTGGTGATTAAAGACAATGTGCTTTGCCAACCAAATTCTCCTTTTCTGATTTACCCCAATGACAAGAGCCGCTGAGTTACTGTTTGGAGACATTCTACAGAATCAAGAGGCAGGCGCGGCCCACTGGCAGCCTTGCATGGCTTTAGGGCATCCAGATGGCTCTTCTAGTACTGGTGTAAATTTCCTGGCAGAACAGAGGCCCCAGTGTTCGAACCTCATGTCCAGTCCTGGAATCTGGCTGGGTGATTCCCAAGTGTCTACCCTCTGCCTCGGCCTCCGGGCACCAGAACAGACTGAAGGTCTCCTGTGTGCTCTGAGGGGCCCAGGTTTTAGAGCTCATACATTGTTTTTTAGAACAAAGGGCCACAAATGAGAATGCCATCTCAGACACAGCTGCTGTCCGTTCTGGCAAATGAAGTTTTTTGGGAACTGAGCCATACCCCTTCGCTTCCATATTACCTGTGTCAGCTCTGTGCCAAGATGGCAGGGCAGAATAGCCACGGTGCTGAGACTGTATGGTGTGCAAAGCTGAAA